CGATCCGCCTAGCCAGAATACATTATCCCTCCCCCTCAGTTACATTGTTCAGAACTTCTCTCTGCCATCCTTTTGTCTTGTTAAGTGTGTCTTCTAGCCAAGCCTCCTGGAATCTAGTGCCTACGTGCAGGGCTTGGCTAATCCTTCTATTGTTAATCAATTGTGACCGTTTTATTTTTAAACTTCTCTGTTTCTCACAGTAAGGACTCAATAAGTACACAAAAATGCCAAATCCAGTCTGAACTTCTGGCTGACTGTGCAATGAACAATAATAATTTAAAATACATTAAAACTGGCTGTCCCAATAACATAACCTTATACAAATACAGCATTTCGCTCAACACGAGGTGCAAAAACTTCTCGAAAATCCCCACAGCAGCTTGGGTATATCCGGCTACCGTTCGTTTATTTCCGAAATAAGAGCCGAACCTGCCCGGTAGATTTTTGATATTCCACTCTCCCCCGACATGTTATCATTTCAACGATTTATATACATACAGTACGCATAAGGTGAAGGCACAATCACTTTTGCCTCAATATGGTTTTCCGGATCACTTTGGTTCTGTCCGTCACGATAAGCGGAGACGGGACGACGCTTTGGTGACTTATTAAGCAAGTCGTCAAAGCCCGACGCGTTTTCTCCTTCTTTCGGCTCTTTCCGTCAAGAGCGAAGAAGCCTGGCTTTCGTGTTCGTTCACATCCTTTCCGCCTCCGCTCGGGAAGGAGCAGCGGAAGAGGTCTTGCCGTTGGGTCTTTTCGTCACTTTCCGCCGGCCACTCGGCAACACTCGGCTCCTGACGGGCTGGGGCCTTCCTTCCTTCCACTTACCTCCTTCAACGGCCCGGGTAACGGTCGCTGCCAGTTTAAATGACGTTGGATCCGGGTCGCCGCCGCGTCATCTCCCGAGGCGGTGTTTGAGTCTGTTAGTAGGAGCAGGAGGAGGGAGCACAGAAAGAAGGCGCCCTCTCCCCACCTCTATCATCCGGGTCCTGTTCCTGAGGGGGGACCCGGGGCAGGATGACGGTGCTGCAGGAACCCGTCCAGGTACGGACACCGGTGGCGAAAGGCCTGTAGTGGGGAGGGGAGAAACGAAGGCAGCTGAAAGAAGAAGCGAGCCTCAGGAGAAAGAAGGGTTCCTGCTCCTTTTCTTTTTCTCTTGACAAGATACGGCTTCTTTACAAACAGCTTTTGCTCCTTACAGGGAATGGGGGATGGCGGTGCAAGAGAATTTTCTGTAATCTCACTTTCTTCAATATGTTATTGCCTTTGCGAATGTCGCGTTCGCACTTGGACTCTCCCTACATCACTAAATCAGCTCACTTCTCTCCTCTGGAAGGAACGATGTGTAGTTTTTAAAAATCGCCTTTTGCATTTGTCCCTCCCCAGACCAATTTAAACACATTCACTCAACTCTCAAAAACCTCCCCCCCCCAAGGATTACATTTTGCTTTTGTCCTCTTTCACACACCTAGTCTGTAAGACACTTCCCTACATGAACCCTCTCTCAGCTTCTTAAATCCCTGTCCCATATCTCCCATTGAAGGCTTCCCTTTTATTACTCCCGTAAACACAAAAGCCCCAAACCAAATACTCACTTGCCTTATTATCTGGTTTTTACAGTGTCATGGTCAAAGGTTTCACTGGACAACAAAGATTTTGCTTCCTGAACACTTTTGGGTGTATCTTATAGATTTTTGGCTGGTAATCATGAAAATAACCTGTAATTTAACTTACCAGGTACCATTTTATGGAATTCTTTTGTTTTTACACAATGGCAATGTACACCCTTCAGTACCTGTTGGCTATGCTGCTCCCATGAAAGAAACATACGAAAACATGGAACTGTTGTTAAAGCACATCCAGTACACCAAGTACAACTGGAATATCTGGAGATCTAAAAGTAGTGGCTCTGCTGCTTGGAATGCAGCTTGGATATACTCAGTACTGCTGTTACATATGTGAATACAACAGCTGTGCAAGAGAGTTGCATTACATTAAAAAGAAATGGACACTCTAAAAGAATTTGGTTCCAGGACAGAAAAACATGGCACATGAAGCAATTGTTGATCCAACAAAGTTAATTTTGCCTCCACTTCACATAAAACTCAGACTGAGGAAAAGTTTTGTAAAAGTGATGAACACGGAAGGTGAAATATTTTGTTATTTGAGACGGATGTTTCCAAGAATAACTTGACAAACCGTTCAAAGATCTGTTAGTGGGGCCAGAGAAAATTGCATGGAAAGCATTCAAGGATGTCATTGAGAATTTTCTTGACAACTACAGAGCACCAAACTACATTTAGCTGGTTGACAAACTTCTTACAGCATACAAGACCATGAAGTGCAACATGTCACTGAAGATTCATTTTCGGCATTTACACTTCTTTCCCGAAATCTAGGTGCTAGATAGAAAAATGTGGGGTAGACAGCATCACCACCAGAAGGATTCATAACTGGTTCACCAAACACACTCAACATGTAGTCCTCAATGGAACTACAGCTACATGAAGGCAGTGGGGCACCCCAAGGTTCAGTCTTAGGCCCAGTACTCTTCAACATCTTCATAAATGATTTAGATGAGGGGATGGAAGGGGAACTTATCAAATATGCAGACAACACCAAGCCGGGGGCAATACCCAACACCCCAGACAATAGGCTCAAGATTCAGAAGGATCTTGACAGACTTGAACACTGGGCCCTATTCCAAAAAAATGCAATGGTCAGAAAAGTAAGGTTTTACACTTAGTCAAGAAAAAACAAATGCACAGGTATAGAATAGGTGGTACCTGGCTCAATAGCAGTAACTGCAAGAGGAATCTAGGAGTCCTAGTCTAGTCCAACCCCCTGCCCAAGCAGGAGACCCTATGCCATTCCAGAAAAATGGCTGTCCAATCTCTTCTTTAAAATCTCCAGTGATGGAGCACCCACAACTTCTGGAGGCAAGCCGTTCCACTAGTTAATTGTTCTCACTGTCAGGTAGTGTCTCCTTAATTCTAGGTTGGATCTCTCCTTGATAAATTTCCATCCATTCTTGTCTTGCCCTCAGGTGCTTTGGAGAATAAGGTGTCCCCCTCTGTGACAGCCTCTCATATATTAGAAGGTTGGGCATTTTTGTCTAGCTATCAAGTCCTTTCCAAGGACCTGGGATAGGCAGATGTGGATGTTTGATGGTGTTACAGATATTGTCACAGGATGTAAGCTGGATCACTGTAAATTTGCAATGGGTGAACACCTTTCCTTCCAGTAGTTTTGCAGCTGCTGGCCCTGGTTGCTCAGCCAACAGTCCTGATTCCTGTAGCCCATTTTTCACCAGATGTCCAGGAACTCCAACACCTAGTGGGGTCCTTGTTAACTCTTTGCTTTTTCTTCAAGTAGTTCACTTTTGGTACATGTGTAATTTGGGTCTTCTATGGGCATGAATACATAATTTTTATTAGTTTATTTAGTTTATGTTGCTTTCTATTTCTTTAGTACAGCAATGCAGTTTTCTGTGTTCTTCACCCGTATGCTCTTCAAACCATGATATTTTTATTTTCAGTTCCCCAAATATTACAGTATCATCCTGTGTATTTTACAATATCATGGATTTGTGCTCTACAAATTACTATTTATTTTCCCCACTGTGCTTACTGACTGTTCACTCTTTTTCATTTGTTTGGAGCTCATTGTCATCTTCTTCTCAAAGGCAAGGTTAAAGCTTCTTAAAAATTGCAAAGAAAAAGAATATCTGTTGATATGCAATGCCAGTGCCAGCAAGTCAAATCATACCCTTTCTTTTGAGTGGATATCATTTTCTGTTGACAGGGAATTGTCTTCACTCAGTCATCTGGTGGCCACTTCATGTTTAGTCCTGGTTGACAACTGGAGTAAGTAATAACTCAAGCAATTAACACAATCATTTCCAGTTGTCAATTTGCAGATTATAGAATCAGATGCCTTTCCAATCTCTAGGAAATTGAGGGCAATGAAACAAAGGAGAAGGCAACTATAATGACAGTGGAGAAAAACCTGAGAAGAACCTGACTGAACCTAATCAATGTGTGCTAGAAATAATCTTAATAATTACTCTATGGTTCATATAATGGTGAATTATTTTTACTTTTCATCACTGTTTCTAGTATGTGGCTATGTTAATCTATCGCAGCAAAAACAGTTAAGAGGCTTGTGGCATCTTTAAAACTAACCAATTTACTTGTGTGTGACAAATATATTGGGTTTTTTAATGCTATGTAACTTTTACACCACTGTTAAATTTTCACTGAGTTCTATGAAATTTTAACAGTAGTGATATGCTTCAAACTTTGAGACTTTACGTTTTGCAGGAATATCTTTATAACTTCTGGTAACTAGTTTGTAAGACACAGATAAACTGCTTGCATCAACACTGGCTTGGAATCCACCTTGAAGGAACCAATTAATGTCTTTCTCAGCGGCAAATAGCCCCTTCAATTTCTCAAGTGCTGCTTGGCATTCCATTGTCCAGTTCAAGGGCTGATTCGGCCGAGGCTTCTCTCCCCCCCTTCCCAGTCTTTAACAGCTCAGTGATCGGCAGAGCAATCCTGGCAAAAGAGGGGATGAATTGTCTGAACAAGTTTGCAAACCTCAAGAAACTTTGCAGCTGCTTGCCACTCCAAGATGGATTTCACCTTCCCCGGGTCCATCTCTATTCCATCGCACGACACGCAGTAGGCCAAGTAATCCAGTTTAGATTTGTGAAATTCGCATTTAGACAGCTTGGCGTACAGCTTAGTGTCCAATAGCTTTTTTAGCACTTGCCGCACAAGCTTCATATGCTCGTCCATGGTCTCAGTGTAAATGAGGATGTCGTCAAGGTACACTAAGACCCCCTTGTAAAGATGCTCATTCAGCACCTCGTTTATGAGTTGCATGAACACTGCGAGGGGCCCCTGCAGTCCAAATGGCATTACTTTAAACTGGTAACTCCTCAGGGAGCAATTGAAGGACTTCTTCCACTCATTGCCTTCTTTAATTCTCACTCAGTAGTACGCCTCCCTCAGGTCTAGTTTCGTGAATATCTTCCCCTTGGCCAAGTGGCCTAGCATGTCCTTCATGAGGGGGAGGCGGTACATGTTTTCCACGCACACTCTGTTAATTCTGCAAAAATCCACACACAATCTAAGGGACCCATTGTTAAGGTATTGATTTAACAGCTAACCAGCTTATGTAAGATGTAAGATGTAATGATGGTAATGACTCAGCAGGGTCTGTGTCTCTTTAAGAGCCTTTGTATAAAGGGAAGGCTCTGCTGATGTGTTCTCTCCCGTTTCGTGCTGTAACTGTGGTTTGTTGGATCCTGCTGTATTAGCAAGTGTATGTATATTGTTCCTGGTGTATGATATTGTAGATAGTGTAAGATAAACCACCATTTAATATAGACCACTGTTTAGTGTGTTTACTCCTTGGTTTACTCTTCGCGCAATAAGACTGTGCACGCTCTAACAGGTTATGGGCCCAGAGAGAGGAGAAACCCAGTGAGAGCTTGACCCAGAGCCAGAGGAGTTAAGGCTTGTGGTTTGTGGTGGTAGCAGGCAACATGGACTTTGTCAGCGTAATGGGAGGAGGTTTCGTAATATCTTGTCTGAATGAAACAAACTACCTCTCCTGGTGTCTGAAAATGGAGATGTACCTGTGAAGGGAGGAGTTGTGGATGATAGTTGCTGTTCCACCTGCAGCCCTGGATGATGGGGACCGGAGAAAGAATGAGAAAGCATTGGTCAGCATAATCCTGAGTTTGGAGGATAGCCAGCTGATACACGTGAGGGGGTCTCCAGTCTGCTAAAAAGTGTTGGGAAGCTTTGTGCAATGTGTACGTGAGAGAGACTGCGAGCAGCAAAGTAATGCTGACAAGAAAGCTATATAAGGCCCAGCTGAAACTGGGAGAGAGCATGTCTACGCATTTGCAGTCCATGAGAAAGACATTCCTAGAGTTAGAAGAAAGAGGAATGACTTTTACTGAGGCACACAAGGTGTATGTGGTGCTCAGTTCATTGGACACTTCATGGGACGCCCTAGTGACCAGTTTA